TCCAGCCTCTAGTTGCGCCCTCAGCTGGATCTTGATCCTGGCAGACTGCTAGTGTCCATATATTTTCAAGGATGTCTTTGAAACCCTTCCCCTTTCAAAAACCCATCTCACTGGCAATGTGAATCATCTAGTCCTTCCATCCAGGTACAAATTCTGATTCGCTGTCTTTTAGATCCTATCTTGCTTATCTTGTTAATGAATGTACAGTTTACAGCATAACCTGACATTCTCACACCTTTCTGGGACTTTTGGAGATTAGCAGTTCAACCACAGAAAATATAAATGCTGCTGCCATTGTCTCCAGGTGTGAACATTTCAGTTTCTTATCAGCAAAAGAATTTAGGCCGTTCTTTTACCTGTGGCAGTCACATCTGCCAAGCCAGTTGGTTTTGCAGACTTCAAAATAGTTTACATGACCCTCTTCATTTTACTCTAATTTACAAGCACAGATCCAAAACACAATAATCTTATAAACGTCATAATTACACCAATTACTATTAAACGTGCAGTATGCATGCAAGAAGAGTGGACACATGATTTGCTGACAATCTTCATCTTGGACATTTTGAGCCTGGCACGATGTGGATCTGCTTGCTCTTAGTTTTTAATTCTTTCTTCTTTCTTTGACATGACTCAGATTGAGAAACCCATATGCAAATATGCTGTTGAACTGTCTTAATGAGACTGATAGGAACCATAGTTTCTCACTTTTATAATAGAAATGTTATGAAGTGTTTAATGCAGATAGAATTTTTAAAATTCTTGTCTGGAATCTCAATGAGCAAAAGGCTTGAAATTGTGTTGGTTATCATTCTGTGTTTAGAACTTGAACATGTAGGTTTTACATTACTTTGTCTGCTTTAGTTAATCCTGCTCAGTGAACAGATACAACATTGTCACATAGGCATCGTTGGAAAAGTCTGTCACAAATTTGTGAAACTGTTTTTTTTTTGTGTCATCAAAGCAAAAAAATAAGCATTTAATGAGTCAGAAATAAACACATTTTCTTACCGGATCCTCAAAATAACATAATAAATGTCACATAATAAATGATCCCATATAAAGGATTTGTTTTTGTATATTGACCGAATTCTTTTTTAGTGAAATCAAACTCCAAGTTTTGGGAATTGAAGTATCATTCTGCATGTGAAGGAGCTGCCATTTTGTCCTATCAGCTAATCCTTTTGAAATATTATTTATATTTGTAGCTTTCAAATGTGTTTCTGCATTTGTTTTTGAAAGATATTCTGACGTCTCAATGTTGAAATATATGATCAACTTGTAAAAATATTTTATGCCCCATTAGCCGAGAGTTGATAATTATTAGCGCTCATAACTTTCTACTTCTATCATAGTGCAATGTTTTGCTTAATTCTGTACAATTTCTTTTTCATTTTCCTAGTATGTTGTCTCCATTGTATGCTTTTACTACTTTGGGAATGGAAGTAAGCCATTCGTTCGATCTCTCAAGTCTGATTAATGAGATCATTTTCACCTATATCCATTGAGCAGCATCTTTTGCCTGTCAAAAATCTGTTGATCTCAGATTTGAAATCAATAACTGAACTTGCGTCTACTCTTTTTAGGAAAGAGCTCTATTTCTACTACTCTAAAGTATTTTCCAACTTCTATTCTGAATAGTGTAACTTATTAAAAGGTTACACCCCTTCTCCTAGAATCCCATATCAGCAAAAGAACATTCTCTTTCAATGCTTGTCAAGATCCAAAAAATGATTCGTATCACCCTGTACTTGCTGTATTCTGGGGAATTAGAGTCAATTTTATGTATTTGTTCTTTGTAGTTTAGCTCTTGCAGCACTGGTGACTCTGTACTATGCTTTTTCCCAGGCTAATATTTTTTCTAATGTACCAGGCAAAGAGCTGGGCTATATACCCCAAATGCAACCTAACCATAGCTTAGCATAGTGAAATGAAATTTATTTCCTATAAGATCAATTGTGAAATGTTTGGGCTGTATCCAGTTTCAGGGAAGACTGCGTTCTCTGTGAAATGCAACATTTACAAGACACTGTTCCAGAGTTGCTTGGTGGCAGTGTTCAATTCTGCCATTTCTTTGGTGCAAGGCTTATTGAAAGGTTGATAGGTTACTGCTGGGTCACAGATAGTTGGACAAAGAGACAGGCTGGAACCATTTTAGGAGTATAACGGTTAGCAGTACTGCTGGGAAGTTAACTGAAGTGAAGAGTCTCGAACAGTTGGATGACTGTGCTCTTAGAACAAAGTCAGGAAGAAGCTCCAGGAATTAGTAAGTAGCTAAAAGTTGGAATCAGGATTTCAAAGAAGACTTGGGGAGCGTAGAAAGTGGAAAGTTCACTGGCTATGTATTGGGAGGAAGCATGAGGGGCTTGTAAAAAGATACTGTGCACTAATATTACAGAGCAGCTGAGAGAATGGTAGTTCACAGCCTTTAAGCAATATTTACTGCATTCAATTGAGAGAGATTAATGCTCAGGAAATACCCAGGGGCATATCTGGGTTGATGAAAAGCTGGAGCCATACCTTTGAGTGTTGGAACGCAGTGTCGGAGTCTGGGAGAGCATAGACCCAGGAAAACAATGTGTTTGACCAGGACAGAAGCAGTCATTGAGGCAATGGATGACGTAATGACTATTGACAACATGTTTCAAGGCCACACTGGCAATAATAAAGAATTTAATTCCTTGCAAAGTTTAATGAAATTTAATGACCGCTGTCAACAGCGAGGATAGGGCTGGGTGAATTTTTGTCTATTACTTGTAGTTGTCACGTGTTAATTTTGAATATTATAAATAAATTGTTTATGTATTATAGAGTCATATAGTTGTACAACACAGAAACAGACCCTTTGGTCCAACTCAACCATGCCAACCAGATATCCTAAGTTAATCTAGTCAGCATTTAGCCCATATCCCTCTAAATCCGTCCTATTCATGTACCCATCCAGATGCCTTTTAAATGTTGTAATTGTACTAGCCTCCACCACTTCCTCTGGCAGCTGATTCCATCCATGCACCATCCTCTGTGTGAAAAAGTTGCCCTTAGGTCACTTTTACATCTTTCCCCACTCACCTTGAACCTATACCCTCTAATTTTGGACATTCCTACCCTGGGAAAAAGACCTTGGCTATTTACCCTATCCATGCCCCTTATGATTTTATAAACCTCTATTAGGTCACCTCTCAACCTCCAATGTTCCAGGGAAAATAGCCCCAGCCTATTCAGCCTCTCCTTATAGCTCAAACCTTCTAACCCCAGCAACTTCCTTGTAAATCTTCTCTGCACCCTCTCAAGTTTAACAACATCTTCCTTATAACTGGGAGACCAGAACTGAATGCAGCATTCCAAAAGTGGCCTAACTGTTGTCCTGTACAGCTGCAACATGACGCCCCAAGTCCTATACTCAATGTACTGACCAATAAAGGCAAGTGTACCAAACACCACCTTCACTACCTTGTCTACCTGTGACTCCACCTTCAAAGAACTATGAACCTGAACTCTAAGGTCTCTTTGTTCGGCAGCACTCCCCAGGACCCTACAATTAAGTGGTCAAAGAAGGTTGGGAGTGCAGGTGGTCAAGGCAAAATGTGGGGGATGGTGGAGGAGCTCAGCAGGCTACCCTTACCCCTCAGGTGGAGGGAGAGCTAGGTGTCTCTGTGGTAGGCCTCTTTCCTAGTCAAGGGATCCCAGCAGCGTGTCCCTGTAGATGGTAATATTGTTCTAGTATTGTATATTTAGGTATTATTTGTAATAATTCATCTAGAAGTCATCTTTTGTCTACTTAAAAATAAAGTATTAGTCCCTGGACCCTGAATACTAGTCCCTAATCAGATTGTAAAGTAATTTGGTGATCTCATCCAGGATCATAATGTGAAATTGTGGTCTGGTCTGAGATTATAACAATAGCTTTCACAAAACTTCCTTCCCTTTAGTTTTAACTCTAGATGTGAAGGCTAACATCAAGAAAAATCTTATGGTGGGTGAGTGATGTGTATACAAGTGCCCTTCAATCTTTTTGGACCTACATTGTTGCTTTTCACATTTAAAAAATACTTAAATCTAACCTTTAGTCCAAAATTAATCACCTCACACTTAGCTACATTGAAGTCGTCAGTTTTAGCCTGATAATAGCTCATTAATACTAAAGCTTCACTGGGCCTCTTCTAGTCTTGAAATAAGTATGATAAGAACTGTAGATGTACTGCATCTTTTCTGTCGCTTCTATAGATATTTTCTCACCACCCTGTTCAAAGACATTTCTGCACACCTTTGGAATTGGAGAGACTTGACCCTGTGCCTCCCGATCCAGAGGTACGAGCTCTTCCATTGCATCACAAGTACCCTCTCGTTCTTAAGTATATTCATAATGTGCTGAACAAAGTCAACCTAATCATGGTTTTATATTTTGAGTCTCTATGCAAACTAGAATCTTCTTTGAGATTTTGTATAATTGTGTCACCATCTATTAATAATATGTACAACTGTAAAATCGTCACCACAAAGTTAGAAGTTGTGATTTCTGGGTATATGTACATTCGAGGCTTTTGAATGTTTGGCGTTGCTTTGAAATTCACACAGTAATGAAGGCAGGTTTCTGAGCACCAGGAACTGACAGTATGTAGTATTCAACCACAATGCAAAATTCATGGATTAAAAATGGAAACTTAATTTTAAGTTCAATAATAAGGAACTTTAAAACAATATTTTAAATCAAATTTTCATCTCAGTTATCTTCCTCTTCATTCTGCTGCAATGGCTTTTTGATTGATTTATCTATTCTGTTTAAATACTACAAGTAATTGAGAATTTTGTCTCTGATACCCTTATAGTTAATACATTTTGGTTTAAGAAAGCTATTCATTTTTTGGTGTGAGTAAATACCAATCTCTTTTGTACAGAATCAAGCTATAAAGATGTTCTTATTTTAAGTACTAAAAGGTTATGAGTTCAACAAGCAATAAAATAGGTTATTATTTTTCTTGACAAACTATCTTTAATCCTGTCACAAAAAACATAAACCATTTATGGTATTAAAGAATTAACATCGCAACACATTTCCATCACCAACAGTTTCCCTAAAATATAAATTAATGTCCATATTTTTTCTGTACTGTAAAACCCTTGTGACTTGATTTCCCTAGTGCTTCAAGTGAAACTAATATAAACAGAATTAAAAGTACAGTATTTTAATCATCATCACAGTATGCAAAGTAATTTATAAAATGCAAAGGAGTAGTGTACGTATACATTTTTGTACCTGTCCTTTCATCTGGATCAGCTAAGGGTCAGTTTGGATTTGAAAGGATTATTTCAATTGCCAGTTAAAAATGTGAATGTCAGAATTGAAGTTCTTTAATTTGCATAACAAAATCTGCAGTTACAAGAATGTACTTTTTATTCCTCTTAGTTTTGGTGCTAAAATTTCATTGGTAGTCCATATATTCATTACATAGTTGAGTCAGAAGTTTCCACTTAATTCTAATGGTGTTGTACTCATAACTGAAACTACTATTGATTCCAGATTTTACCTAATTAATTGAATTTAAATTCCCTAGCTGCTGTGTTGGGACTTTATTTCATTTCTATGGCTGATTAATCGTGGCCTTTGGATTGCTGGTCTGGTAATAAACCACTGGGTTACTGTACCCTTATGTTTTGTAGCAAAACAAGCTATCCCAGTAGGTTTCTATATACAGAGGAGAAAATGTTTGCTTTAAGAATGATCACTGCATAATGTTAAAAAAATTTAGCCCTCTGGGCTTAAGATTGAAATATCTGCTCTTTGGCGTCCTGTGTTGACTGGACTATTGTGAATTTCAACTATTCTTTAACTTGTACACTTACTTTGATTAACTTGATTTCACTGCCTTCTATTAAAGTCTGCCTTCTAGTTCAAGTAAGTAATCTAAATGTTCTTTTAAGTGCTTGTGGCACATTGACCATAAACTGTGTCACAGAGTTAATTAATTTTTTTTTACTAGGAAGTTAACGTACTTAATTGCTCATTTCACCTGAGGTAGTTGTGTGAAGCAACCTAGAGCCAGTTTATTGTCAGAGTTTGAATTAGATCACCAACTGCATTTTTCAATTTATTTTTGCGGCTTGTATCATTTGAAGCCAGTTTGCTTAAAATAAAAAGACTAGTTGGTCCTGATAGATTACTTTGCTCCATTTAATTTGAGCCGCTATCCCAAAGAACGTTACTCTTCTGGACATCAGCAAACTGTATTTCACAAAATAATGCCAACTGAAAATGCAGTGGATCCTGAGATACTTCAAACAGAGACTGTTGGTGTTGAGCTATAATCTGTCACTTTTAACCAACACCCAGTATAGTGTGTATAATAACATTTATAAGTAGACAGAAAGTCAATGAGGAGTTTAAACACACCCTCATCCTAGGGTGTGTTATGCTTCTTGGTGACTAATCTAGGCTTTGAAACCTTGATGTGAACAATGGTTGTCAACCTCACATGGTTTAATAATTTGCTACTCTGGTTTCAATTGGAATTGTACCACCTTATGCAACTCTGGTTTTCTTTCTCAAATTGAATATTCTATCACAAATGTTATTCTTTACAAGTGTTGTCTCTGATTGTGTTTTAACTGATTCTTCATTTGACCTTTTTAGGCTTATTGGTTTCTGTTGTTTGTCTAATTTGTCAAATGCAATGTGTTCGTCTTCATAGATGGGGTCCTCCAAACTAGTAAATTGCCCAGTTGGCAAAAGAGACCATTCCTCATTATATTTTCCATCGTTAGATTCAGCTAACTGGCAAAGAGCCACAGCAGCTGACTGCTTCTGTTCATCATTACAGCTTTGCGTACTTCTCATAACTTTTAAAGATTTCAGGTTGCTGACAACAATTTCTTTCCATTGACCTGTTTTGTTGTGATCTTTGGCAGTACTAAGGTCTTCCACCGGCTTAATCTTCACGTCAGAATGAAGAGATTTATTGCTGATTAAGTATTTTGCTTGTGTCCTTGATTCTTTAGAAGTGCTGCCTACTTGTGGTGGGATGGAACCTTCAGCTGTTTGCCAGCAATGATCATGCTTAGCTTTAACAGAGAGGTTTAAAGGTACTTCCTGTACATTTATAGAAGTCTGAAACTCTTCATCTTGTGGGCAATCATTGCCAACTGAAGAATTTTCATTTGAGTCATGTGGCAAATTATTAGTGTTAGTTCCAAACAGCTTGTCCTGCTCTGTTTTTTCTTTGTCCTTCTTGGAAAGGTTTAAAGGGATCATGCTGCTGGAGCTTGTATTTGAGGAGATTGGCGAATTACCATGGCCATAATCCAAAATGGTGACATTAGAAAAAGTTAGGTTAGATGTCGAATCCTCATTGGCACCTAGAATTCTGTAAGTAGAGTAGTAAAATATGATTTACAGACCAAAATATTTTGACTTTTGCATATTTTAAAAAGACACAGACATATTTATATAGCACCTTCCACTATCTCAGGATGACCCATTGCTACACCATCCATCACGCCCGACATTCACTCCCTCCACCTCTAATGCACTGTGGGCATTTGTGTAGCTGGTAGAGGTAAAGTCATCATAGTCCCAAAGAACCAAAGGATTGGTCTCTCATCAGAGAGAGATGACTAGTGGGGAGTTTAACCTGAGGATCACCACATCGCAGGCAAGGGGCAGGATTGAGAAGGCTAGATCTTCTTGGTAACTTCAGCCAGCACGGGAATTGAACCTGTGCTGTTGGCATCACTGCACTGACAAACAACAATCCAGCCAAGAGAGCTAACCAGTGCCCCACCTACAAGCTGTAGCAAGTCAGCCAGACTCCTTCAAAGATATCTTCTAAAGCAGTGACCTCTACCATCTAGAAGGACAAGGGCAGCAAATGCATTAGACTACCACCCCTGAAAATTCTCTCCAAGTCAGACATCCTGACTTGGAACTGAATCACTGTCCTTCACTGTGACTGGGTAAAAATCCTGAAACTCACTCACAACATTGTGGATGTGCCTACACAATGTGGGCAACAAATGCTGCCTGAGTCAATTCAAGCACAGAAAAACGGTAACCTGTTACAAGAGCTTTTGTCTTTAGTGGTGTTGCTTCATGTTATTGAGGGCAATCGGAAAACATCTTTTTTTGTTAGATAACACCATTGAACCTTTTATGTCTGCTGGCATGGACAGACGGGTTCTTGGTTTAATGTCTTATTTGAAAAATGGCATGCACTGTGCTGCACTGAAGTACCAGTTTAGATTATACATCCTCATCTTTAGAGTGGTGTTTGATCTCTCAGCTGACTTTAACAAATCTCACCACTGAGCTAAGGCCACCTCAGAGATTGAAGAGAATCTTAGAAATGCTGAAAGCAAAGAAAGCACAGTGGTGATTAAACCTCCAATTAATTAGCTTATTAAAAATGTGTTGCTTATGTTTTATAAGAACATAGCAGCACTTTAAATGGTTATTTATGGTTAGTCTACTTATATGAAAATGGGGTCTAATAAATTAATGAAATGTTAAGAAATTGCACACATCTTTGGTTTTACCTTTGCTTTGTACTCTGTCTATTTATAAAAGGTTGAAATTATTGTGAAATTTTAAACAGTTCTGGCTATACCGAACTTAAGAATAGTGTCCATTTTGGGTGCAATACTTCATTAAAAATGTCAAGACTTTAGGGATATTTACCAGAACAGAGATGGGTTGAGCGATTTCAGTTATGTGAGGAGACTTTGGAAGCTGTATTATTGTTCTGAGAACAGAGAAACTTGAGGAGTAATTAAATAAGGAGAAGTATTCAAAATATGTTTGCTTTGGTAGTTGACGGTTAGAGACTGTTTCCATCAACAGGAGGGCAGGTATTTGGAGAGTACCAAGTGAAATAATTGGCAAAAGACACAGGCGAGACAACAGAATTACTTTTCACTGTGAGTTATGAGGATCTGGATTGTACTGTTTGTATGAGTGATGTAAACAGATTCAACAGTAACTTTAAGAGTGGAGTTGGATCTGTACTCGGAGAAATTTTCAGGGCTACAAGAAGAGAACAGCAGTGGGACTAATTTTCAAAGAGCCGGCACATGCATACGTGTTGTTTTGAATGGATGCCTGCAGTGCTATATGTTTCTTAAAGATTAGCAGTCTATGTCCTATGTTACTTTCTGAAAATGAGCATGATGGATAATACAGCAGTCACATTTTATTTGGGTTAAATTGCTGAAAGTAAAACCGTCTGTAATTCGTGAGCTGAGTTTGATTCCATGAATGATTGCTAATTTGTAAAGGCTCAGAGATAGTAAGAACTGCCGATACTGGAGTCAGAGATAACACAG